AAAAAAAAAGAAAAAAAAAAAAAAAGGAAAGAGAGAGAGAAAGAGAAAGAGAGAGAAAGTGTATGTCAATTATAATAAGAGGGAACTTTTTTGTAAGTTGCAGTATCCACAACACCATATCCTCCAATCACCATTCACCACCTTCATACACCGCTTTTGCACTCTCTTCTCTCTCTCTCTCTCTCTTCCCCACATTTCTCTTTCTCCAAAGATTTTTTGTAAAATTTTAGATTCATTCCTTGAAGCGTACTAGTTTGCTTTTGAGTGGTTTCTTTCCCTTCGTAGCCTCGCAATATACTCTTCCAGTCTTCCATCTCTTTTCTCTTTGCTGCTCAGCCTCTAGAGAGAACAAAAAAAGGAAAGAAAAAAATAAAGAAGAGATCTTTTCCCAGCTTTTTCCGCTGCCCCGCTTCAATTCCTTGGAATTCAGAGCCTCCCCAAACTGATTTCCTTATTTGGTCTTCAATTTTCACTATCTTCTTATCTTTCTTACTCAGCTTCTTTCCTAATTTGGAATATTAAATAGGTTGAACCTGCACATTCGAGCTTTTCCCTTTTATGTTTGGTTCTTTGACCAGAAATTGTTTATGGGGTTTGGCTTATTTGTTTATTTTCCTTGAGATCTGCATAGTTGGTATTCAGGGGTTCCGGATTTCTATCTTCGGAGTTTAGTTTTTGCTTTTTTTTATTTTCTCACATTTTCTTTGAATTTTGGAAAGTTGGGTCTTTTTTAGATTCCTCAGGCTATGCCTACACATAAAAAGGTATTCCGATTCCTTTGAAAAAGAAAAAAAAAAAAAAAAACCAAAAGAAAGAAATGAAAGGAAAGGAAATAAAATGCCTCTTGATTTAACACTGATATTATTGTGGTGAAATCTCCACTTCCGCATTTTTTCTTCCTCTGAGGCTCTCTCTTTCTTCCTCTGTTTTCCATGTCACTCTGAGTTTGTGGAAAAACCAAAAAAGAAAGGGAAAAAAATGGAAATTCTATCGCCCGCATCTTATATTTCGAACTCGAATTGGCTCATGGAAGATAGCAAAGGAGCGAGATGGACTGCGGCGGAGAACAAATTGTTCGAAAACGCGTTGGCGGTTTTCGATAAGGAGACGCCGGACCGGTGGCACAATGTGGCGGCGATGATCCCGGGAAAGACCGTCAGCGACGTTATTAAGAAGTACAAGGAATTGGAGTATGATGTTAGCAATATAGAAGCTGGGCTAATCCCAATTCCTGGATATACCACTTCCACATTCAAATTGGACTGGGTCAATGGCCATGGCTATGATGGGTTCAACAAACAGTCTTTTGCTCTTGGTGGAAAGAGATCTTCCTCAGCAAGGTCCGCTGATCAGGAACGAAAGAAAGGCGTTCCATGGACAGAGGAAGAGCATAAGTAAGTATTTTCTCTCTCTCTTTTTGGGAATTCAATTTGGAATCATATTTTTAGTCTTGAATTAGTCTTTTAAGCAAATGAGATGATATTTTGATGTTGCGGATATTTTGTTTAGGCTGTTTCTGATGGGTTTGAAGAAGTATGGGAAAGGGGATTGGAGGAACATCTCCCGCAATTTCGTGGTTACTCGGACGCCGACGCAAGTGGCGAGTCATGCTCAGAAGTACTTCATTAGGCAGCTATCAGGAGGGAAAGATAAGCGGAGAGCGAGCATCCACGACATAACGACCGTCAATCTCAACGACACGAGAACTCCGTCGCCGGACAATAAAAGGCCCGTTTCGCCGGAGCACTCCGGGGTGGTCGCGCAGCAGCAGAATTCGGCTGCCATGTCAAGGACTCCTTATCAATGGAACCAACCAAGTGGTGGTGGAGGAGCAAACATGGGCTTCCACATGACTAATGGAAATGTATTTGTGACCAATCCTTATGGGATTAGCACATATGGGCTTAAAATGCAGGGGCATAACAATCTCCACAGAGGTGCTGTTCATGACTCTTACTTTGGACCTCAAAGTATGGTTTTTCAGATGCAATCCACACAGCTTATATATATATATATATATATATATATATATGATACTTATAATTATATAAGTGGCTTAGAAGTTTTCCATGTTTTTCTTCCAGTTCAGCTAGTATAGGTCTTGATTGTGTTTTTGTCTTGGTTTCATGTGAATATGTCATCCAAAAGAACTCTTGAATTAGTCCAGTAGTTTTTGAACTTTTGAGGGGACAGAATTGTAGTGTTTCCTTGGAATTTCGAATTTCTGAAATATGATGAATTAACCGAGTGGAAGCTTCTCTCCATATAGTCCATACAATGTTATGATGGTTTAAAGAGGTGAAATTTATGCAGAAGGAATTTCAAGACATGCTCAATCAAGTGCCTGTGTTATGGATGCCATGGTTTTACTTCCAAGAGTCTTTGGATATTGGTATTGAAGCACAAAAGGAAAAAAAAAAAAAAAAACTGCATATAATTGACTGATCTTTTAACTTGATTTCTTAAGAATGGTTAATAAAGCAAAAATTTTGAGCATCTCCAATTCCAATGTGGATCTTGTTTGTTTGATTTTTTATTTTTGTTTTTGTTTTTCTTTACTGTGGTTCAAAAAACAGATATTTTTGCACTTTTATGCGCCCCCTTGATCGGATTTCATTTAGCCAGTCGATTTGAGCAAAAAAAGGCCAAGTCATTGGATCCTGGTTTTGCCAGACTGGCCAAGTCACATAGCAGTTGAGGCAGGGAATTTGATGGTTTTTGATTGCCTTACTTTTGCCTTTCAAATCTTCTGGACTTTTATGTAGTTCAAATTTAACTTAGTTTTTGGAAGTCATTTTTCTAGACTTTTTTCACTAACCAACTTTCACCATGGAACCAAACTGGTTTGGTTGACTGAGATTGACCTTCAAAAATCATATTGAATGCTGACTCCACGCGCACTAGCTGAAGCATCATATGCCTAATTCACTTTCTCTCTGCCTCTTTTTTTTTTCATTTTTTTTTCTTTTTAATTTCAATATTCTACAGATACTCTAAAGAAATAAGAAGATCTCTTTCAGCAGTGACAAAGTTAGCCGTTTATTTAAAAGAACGTATTGCACTAAGTAAGATACAGATCAGATTACCCTTATTAATTTATAATTAATCTGCGGCTCAGTTTTGAATCTAAGCACTTGTTAATACGGATTTGTGAATGATATTTGTGAGCTAGATTTGGTTTTTCACAATGATGGCTAGACGCCAAAAAAGTGTTGTAACTTGCAAGAGCACGAGGAGTTCTTGTTAGTTTAAGTCTACAAAAGAGATAATAATAATAATGTTGGTTTAGTTCATCCGTTTAAGTTAATAATTCTTAATTTTGATATTTAAAATTAAAATTTTTTTTTGAAAAAAAAAACACCGTAAAACACATCAAATAAATGAGTCTTTAAGTTTTTTTTATTCTCAATTGTACGGCTCCTGCCAATTAAAATAGAATTTTTAATCAAAGGTTTGGCTTCTCTCTCAGGCCTAGGCGAAAAACTTGTGGCCCGGATCGTGGAGACAAAATATCCTAGTTTTCATTAGGCAGAAAGATTTCTTTACCTTATTCTTAAGGTAATCAGTGTCCGAGATTATAATTTCCTAGTTTTATTTTTATATCTATATATTTTTTATTTTTATTTTTTTTATGGATTCTCTTTTTGTGGACAGTTCATTGACCTCTCACCTTTTTCTTTTTTTGCTTTCTTTTGGAAAAAAGAATCTTCTCCTTAATAAGTGCTTTTTTGATAATGGTCTGGTATCTCAGCTAATAAGACAAGTTAACAATTATTGCACGCTGTTTTACTCTTTAACGTTGAAAGGAATTTCAGACAGGCATTATAATTAATAGAGTCAGCACGGTTTTGGCTCTACATTTCTCTCTGATTAATGATTTGTCATCCTACATAAACAAAGTAGCAATGATGATTAAGTAATAATATTAGCAATCTGTCCATCAAAACGACAAAAAAGGTAACAAAAATATTTAGTAATCCTTAAGGTTCAAACATGACCAAAAATGATAAGAATAAATCAGATGCAAATAATCCTAGAAGATTCGACTTTTAACTTTCAACTCTCCCCGTGCAAGTGAACATATCTTTCTTTATTTCTTTCTTTTCTTCCTTTTTCATCCTCTTTTTTCATTTCTTTTTTTCGTTTTTTTTTTTCCTGAGTGTTATAGGTAAGAAGCTTATCACAAGTCCAGTACACAGTTGCTATACAAAATGACAAACGGGGGGGAAAAAAAACCAAAATTAAAGCAGTAATAGATTGTTCTTTTTCCATATTTAAATCCATTTTTTCTGCCCTTATCTTTGTTGGTTTTGCTATTATTTGTTGTGACAGCAAAATTTCTCTTATGCTTTTGTCATGAAAAGCCTAATAAAGTCTACATGTCACTTGGAAAATGCCATGTTGAGTGAAGTAAGCAAAGAATTCACGAAGGGCCTTTTTACTACAACTTGCATGAGAAAGCACCTTACCCGCTTTATTCTTTGGTTTGTTGAACGCCCTAACTAGTTTACAACCACATAAATAAAATCCCATCTTCAACTTTCGGTCATGTTTAACTATTTATCTTATTTTATTTTGTTTTGTAAACTTGGCCACATTTTTTTTTTATTGCCTCTCCCCATATTTATGAACTATATTCTGATTCCTCTCCCTCAATTGATGCTTTTATTCAGTAACATTTTTATGTGTAATGTCTAGCTCTTAGCCACACCGAAAGAGAGATAATTGTGAAAGGAACTGCAGTAAGGTTTTAAGGGCCTATTTGGGGAAGTGGGTTGGATTCTCTATGTTGCTTCGGTGGCCCTCGGAGAGATCTGGGAATAATCTGCCGAGGGGGCTGAAATGCTAATGTAGTAAAGGATAGAAAATTAGAGGAATGTACATGGTCGGAAAGTAAAATTCTAAAAGATGAATCATATCTATTATCTAACTCTGTTCGAGTTTCGGATTACAATTAAGTAAATGCATTAGTGTTTTGCTGTGACCCCTTTAAGATTTCGTTTTCCACGCCCCTCAAAAAGCAAGTAGACTATTGGTGAGAGAATCTCACGCACGTGGTATTTTGAGCATATTATAGTGTCGATACTAGAATCCACTAAGTCCCACAACTTGTTTTTTCTGTAAGTAAACACGATAAGATAAACTGCCAAATAGCCGCATGCAGAACAAAAATACGAGCAAACAGCATTTTTTTATGTTAAGAAGAAGGGTAGGAGAGATGATCAGCCTGTGACTATCTCCTCTTGGTCTAACTAAAAAGCCCCTATACGTTGAAAATGGTCTGTATTGAGTCATAACTACTTGTGTTATATGCACCACCTCGACCCTACTAAGAACTAATGAACATTAAGCCCGTTGTTTGAAAATAACAAAATTGCATCTCATGGAACTCGGACATAAACCTCCTATTCACTTAGGACAGGTGAATACTGTAAGTCCCAAAGGAAACCAGTAGGTGCAACACAAAAGACACCACCAACAAGAGCATGAGATTATTGAGATTTGGTTTTGTGAATGTGGGACTGCCACTTGTATTCTTCTTTGGCATGAGATGAAATGATGTGATTTCATGATCCAGGTCCATTCTTACCAATAATCACATAAATACACAGGCAGATGCAGCCAGATTTTGTTGTTCTATCGATTTGACCATGGTTTGTCTTGTGCAAAAAGAAGCAACTGTAACATTATACAATCCAAAATGACTAGGAGATCTGGGATATAGGAATGAGGAAGATACAAAAAAAAAAAAAAGAAAAAAAGAAAAAAAAGAAAAAAAAAAGAAAGAAAATATACACATCACATAAATATAGAATAGGTTGGTCATACAATACAAGGAAGGACAGATGAATCGTATACCAAAGAATAATTACCAGCTGTTTCTAGTACTGCAGATTAAGACCCATATTGCCTTTTCTCAGCCTCGTTCCTTAAATATCTATTATACTAAACTAAAGATTTATTTCTTTTTGTAACTAAGCCCAAAGCCAATAGGATACAGAGGGTCATATGCATTGGCTTCAGCATTAATTGGCAGTTGCTGAACCGTTCTGAACCATGTCACAGGTAGTCTTCCCTCGAAGTCGAAATCACCAAAGATGACATCGGCAATGCCCCCGCCTTCGCTACCTGGCAACCAAGCTGCAATTAGAGCATCTATCTTCTCCAAGAGACGAGGCTCTAAAACTAAAGGTCTTCCAGATATCAGAATCACCAATGTTGGGATCCTATCAGCAACTGAGCTTATCACATTAGTTCCATCAATTCTTCTGCCCGAAGCATCGGCTCGTTCAATTACAAGCACCGAGTTGTCACCAGTAAATTCTGCATATGGTTCTTCACCAACTACTACAATTGCCAAAGAGAAATCTTGCCGTGATAATGTTTCTGTTGATGGATATTTCTCGTAAATTATCTCCGTATTGTCTCCCACAGCTTCTTTAATAGCTTCCAAGATGGTTGTTCCTGAAATAAACAAATCTCATTATTAGTGCAGTGCGCATTTTTCTAGTCATGCTTTAAAAAAAAAAAGTTAAAGTAACAAGACAATTTTTATTAGCATTTTTGTTAAGAGACAAATTCTATAACTTAGTTGACGTGAAAATAGCTAACATTCAATGCTAATTTGAAAACCACACATATGAGTCCCAAGATATTTTTATTATTATTGTTAATGTTATTACTAGTCCATAGTTAAGTAGACATGCTGCAAACTTATCAAGATGCATTATGATTGAGACAATAATATCAGAGAAAGAAATGATTGAGACAAGAATACGAGAGGTAGATATAATGTCCTAATCCTTTTGGTTAACTAATTTCGACAACGAAAATATATCAAAAGTGTACCAATTGTGATCCTGCCGCTACTTCCATGCCAAGTACACGTCCACCCTCCACACTGATATCCAAGATCATCAGCATGGCTTCCTACGACAAGAATTCTTTGATCTCTTTTGTCTAATGGAAGTAAAGGTTTCCTTAAATCCTTTCCATTCTTCAACAGAACCAAGGACTTGCGAACTGCTGCGCGTGCTAGATCTCTATGACCCTGCAAAATAATCAGAAAAGATAAACGTTTTATGTGGTAACAGAATAAATTGGAATCACATGCATATGAGGAGCGATAATTCAAAAGACAATTTCAAACTGACCATGTATTTCTTACTCCATCAATTGCCTAAGAACATTACTATGATATTGGTATAATATATGAAAAGGTTAATATACCAGTCGAAAACCATGGTAAGAGATTTGGTGAGATACAAGTCGAACATTTAATGATAGAAAACAAAGTGAATACGTAGTATGAAACTGTGCATATTTACCTTGCAACCAACTGTATCTAGCAAAGATCTGTCACTAAAGGGATGTTCAAAAAGACCGGCGACAAACTTGACTCGCAGTATTCGTTCAACAGCATCATCAATTCTGGCCATTGGTACCTTCCCAGATTCTACCAGATATTTCAATTCCTCCATGAACTGTTCGTAATAAAACGGCACCATCACCTGCATAGTTTCTCATTAAGACTCGTGAAACACAAGAATTATAAGAGAAAAAAATAATAATTTCAGTCTCACCATGTCAATTCCTGCATTTACGGCAAGGGAAATGCATGTTCCATAGTTTGAGCCACGGGGTTGGATAAGTCTATCAAGTCCTTCCCAGTCAGAAATTACAAAGCCCTGCAGCAAATTCCTTAATATTTATCAATTCAGAGAGGTTTAACTAGAACACTAGGACAAACAACAGCAAAAGGACTATCAGATTATTGATTTAAACTCCATTTAGATGCTCAAAGAAAGTTGTAAATTTCTTTCTGTGATAAACAGTGGAATAATAAGAATTAGAGCCTACCATAAGAGAAAGGAATTTCCTACTGCTATAAACAAATGCATAGTATATTGCGTTTTGTGATGCAGCTCATGTGCGTTAGATAAAACAGGATTGTGGTGCGTTTTGGGTTCGGATCTTTCTCGGAAAAAAAGGCCACATTGTAGGGAATGATTACCTTAAAACCTAGCTTATTCTTCAAAATTTCCGTCAGGAGATAACGATCAGAATGCAATGGACTTCCATTCCAGCTGGAATAAGATGCCATAACAGTGGAAACTCCCTGAGAAATACAGTCCAGATAAGGTGCCATATGAATTCTCTCCAAGTCATCATATGAGCATACAGTGTTCCCTTCATTTAGACCTTTGTGGGTACCCCCATCTCCAACAAAATGCTTGGCACATGCAATAACATTGTTTCTGGAATCAAGTTAGTGATGTTAATTGTTGAGAAATATATTAATATATGTCTCAAGGCATAGAATCTAGAATTGGAGATTCAAGACCAATAGAGTCCAAAAAAAGGAATAAACATACAAACTCATATTTCAACAGTCAAAAGAAGGAAAAAAAATATATTTTACTTGGAAAACAGGTTGCACGGAATAATACATTCTGTCATTGAGATTGTTCTTTTATAGAGAATTACAGCACCTAAAAAACCATTAAATCAGGAAACTAAATCACTAATTTAAGGAAAAAATAATTCCTAGGCAGAGCTTTCCTAAAATACACAGATTTACACCAAAAATAGCTATATTACAGCTAGTGACTAATTTACAGCTAATATATATTTACAGCACATATTTTTCCTGATTTTCTAACACTCCCCCTCAAGCTGGTTTGAAGATACCTTCCATAGCCAGCTTGCCAACTAGAAAATCGAACTGTTTTGTGTGCAGTCCCTTGGTAAAGATATCAGCCACTTGCTCTCCAGTAGGAATGGGTTCCATATGAACCAGTCCATTATCTATCTTCTCCTTGATGAAATGCTTGTCAACCTCCACATGTTTTGTGCGGTCATGTAGGACTGGATTGTGTGCTATTGAGATTGCTGCCTTGTTGTCACAGTACAACTTCATAGGAGATGACTCTATCGCTTTTAACTCTTCCAACGGCCTTCTAATCCACATGATCTCACAAATACCATGGGCTACAGCTCTAAATTCAGCCTCAGCGCTGCTCCTTGCAACCACATTCTGTTTCTTGCTTCTCCATGTAACTAAGTTACCACCTACAAATGAACATTATCCAAAAGTGGATCTTCGGTCTACTATGCTCCCAGCCCAATCTGCGTCTGTGTAGGCTTTAATCTACAAGTGTCCTCGTGGCTTAAACAAAAGTCCTTTGCCCGGTGTCCCCTTTAGATACCTTAAAATTCTGTAGACGGCTTCAAAGTGTGCTGGTCCTGGGGCATGCATAAACTGGCTGACCATACTAACATAGAAGGCTATATTTGGGCGTGTATGGGATAGATAAATCAATCTCCCAACGAGTCTCTGATAACGCTCCCTGTTCTTCACATTCTTAGCTTCTGCAGGTTGTAGTTTCACATTAGGTTCTATAGGGGTTTCAGCAGGTTTACACCCTAGCATACCTGTCTCATTCAGCAAGTCAAGAACATACTTCTTCTGATTTACAAAGATGCCTTCTCTAGATCTAGCAAACTCCATCCCAAGAAAGTATTTCAAAGCCCCGAGATCTTTAATCTCAAACTCCTCAGCCAGTTTCTTTTTCAACTTTTCTAGCTCATCACAATCATCCCCAGTTAACACAATATCATCCACATATACTATCAGGATAGCTATTTTACCGTCATTCGAATGCCTGTAAAACATCGTATGATCGGCTTGATTTACATTGTATGATCGGCTTGACTTTGAACATATCCATGGCGCTTTATTACCTTACCAAAGTGCTCAAACCAAGCTCTCGGTGACTGTTTAAGTCCATACAAGGACTTCTTCAATCTGCACGCTTTTCCATTTCCACACCTTTCTTCAAAACCTGGTGGGGGACTCATGTACACCTCATCCTCAAGGTCTCCATTAAGGAAAGCATTTTTAACATCTAATTGGTGTAAGGGCCAATTAGAGTTGATAGCCAGAGACAATAGGACCCTAATTGAGTTTATTTTGGCTACTGGAGCAAAGTTCTCTTGATAGTCTATCCCATAGGTTTGGGTAAAGCCTTTTGCAACAAGGCGGGCTTTGTATCTCTCGACACTCCCATATGCCTTACTCTTGATAGTAAACACCCATTTGCACCCCACAACCTTTTTTCCCTTCGATAATTCTACAACCTCCCAAGTACCATTCTTCTTCAAGGCATTCATCTCTTCAAGCACAGCCAACCTCCAATTCGGGTTACCAAGTGCTTCCTAAATATTTCTAGGCACAACAAGCTTTGAAATGTTTGTAGTGAATGCTTTATGATTGTCAGAAAGGTTTTGACAGGAAATATATTTGGCAATAGGATGTTTGGTACAGGTTCGGGTTCCCTTTCTATGGGCAATAGGAAGGTCAAGATCAAGATTTTGTTCAGGGATAACAGGGGCTGGATCCAAAACAGGTTTAGGTGCAGAGTTCTCTTTCCTAGAATCTGATTGTAATGGTAAGTTTAAGTCAGTAATAGGAGAGGAAGAAGAAGGAACAGAAGAAGGATTACCTGAGGTATTTGAATGACCATTGCTTAGGGTTTCCGGTTGACCACATGCTGGAATAATGGCCTGGTCTCTACCACCTCTAAGGACACCTTTCCTGGAATAAACCATAGGCTCAAGATTGTTTCTATTTTTTTCCATTCGTAGTATTTCTTTTTCTGTCAGACCAATATCAGTTTCGGTTTCTTTAGGCCTAGTTTCCAAAGTTTCTTTTTCAAAAAAAGTATCAAGAAGTGTGCTAGGTATGGGTTCGGCAATTTCCCAGAAATTTGGTTCAACTATCTTCTGCCCCTGAAGCAAATTTTTGGTAAAGTATGGTGTATTTTCCATGAAAGAAACATCCATAGTGACAAAAAAACGTTTTGTAAGGGGATTAAAGCATTTGTAACCCTTTTTATTGGGTGCATACCCTACAAAAACACATTTTTCAGTTCTTGGATCTAATTTAGACCTGAGCCTCTTTGGAGTGTGCACATATGCTGTGTAGCCAAATATTTTTAAGGGTAAGTCAGAATTGATTCTAGATTTTGGGAATACCTTTTTTAAGCAATCCAGAGGGGTGATATATTGTAAAACTTTGGTAGGCATCCTGTTGATTAGATACGAAGCTGTCAGTATAGCATCACCCCATAGTTTGAAACATTCCTATAAAACATCATGGCTCTAGCTACTTCTAACAAATGCTTGTTCTTACGCTCAACAATGCCATTTTGTTTAGGTGTGTCGGAACAAGAGGATTGGTGTAAAATTCCTTTTTCATTTAAAAAGGTTTCCACAACTTTATTAAAATACTCTGTTCCATTGTTAGATCTCAAAATATTGATTTTTGTTTGAAATTGAGTTTCAATCATCCTATAAAATTCTTTAAAAATCTGTTCTACATCAGATTTTTCTCTCATTAAGTAAACCCAACAAAGACGTGTATGATCGTCAATAAAAGTCACAAACCATTTTTTTCCAGAAATTGTGGTCACTTTTGAAGGACCCCAAACATCACTATGGAATAAGTAAAACGGTCTTGAAGCCTGATAGGGTTTCGGAATATAAGACTTTCTTTGACTTTTTGCCATTAAACAACTCTCACATTGAAACGATGAAGGATCAATCCCTTTAAATAGCACTGGAAATAAATGTTTTAGATAAGAGAAACTTGGATGGCCTAAACGACAATGCCAAACCATTATTTGATCACGTACATATAAAGAATTGATACTACTCAGCCCTTGAACCATTTTATTACTAAGAAATTTATCCTCGAAATAATAGAGACCATTAATCATCCTAGCACTGCCGATCGTCTTCCCCGAGCTTCGGTCCTGAAAAATGCAATAGTATTCATAGAAAATAACAGAACAGTTAGAGTCTTTGGATAATCTGCTAACTGACAAGAGATTACAAGCAAGTTTAGGGACATAGAGAACAGATTTAAGATCTATTCCCTCAGAAATTTTTATAAGGCCTTTTCCTGCAATTGGTGAGAAATTACCATCGGCTATCCTAACCTTCTTATTTCCGGGACATGGTGAATAAGTCTCAAACAAATGTAAGGAATTGGTCATATGGTCGGATGCTCTAGAATCTATTATCCGTGGAGCAGATTTAAATTGACAAGATAGATCATAGAATTTATTACCTGTGTGTGCCACAGAAACACTAGGAACATTGGGTACCGAGTTAGATTTTAACAGTGCGAGATGCTCCATCTGCTCCTTGGTGAAGGGGCTCGTCTCTACCTCATTAGCAGTAGGGATGGCTTAGCTTGATTTATCTCCAGCTTTTCCTTTCCAATTTGCAGGTTTCCCATGAATTTTCCAGCAGGTCTCACGGGTATGGCGAGGCTTATTGCAGAAATCACACCAAACTCGCTGCTTTTCATCAGATTTGCGTTGAAAAACAGGAGCCTTGCTTCCAGTCGTGGAGACCAGGGCAGAACCTTCAGCAATTCCAGGTCCCTTCTTGCCAAGCATCACATTCCTCCTAGTCTCCTCTCTTCTGACTTCTGAAAAAACTTCACCAATGGAAGGTAGGGGCGGTCTTCCAATAATTCTCCCCCTCACCTCATCAAACTCGACATTAAGTCCAGCCAGAAACTTGAAGATGCGGCTGTCCTCTACAGTCTTCTTGTGATGTTGAGCATCCTCGGGAGATTTCCACTCATAGGTGTTGAAGAAGTCAAGGTCTTGCCAAAACCGCTTCAAGGAATGAAAATATTTTGTGACACTGTCCTCCCCTTGTCGCATCCCTTCGATTTTGAGGGTCAACTCAAAAATCTGTGATTGATTTCCAAGATCGGAATACATTTGATTTACATTCTCCCAAAGCTCTCGTGCCGTTGGATAGCACATATAATTAGAGCCAATATCTTCTTCCATTGAATTCACGAGCCACGTCATCACCATGGAATTCTCGGCATCCCATGTAGCATAGGCCGGATCATCCTCTGCAGGAGCCTTCTTTTCACCAGTCAAATAGCCCATTTTCCCACGCCTTCTAATGTACATCCTAACCGACTGAGACCATCTCATAAAATTGTCACCATTCAAACGAATTGTGGTGATATGAACAGAATGAGATTCTGAGGAGGTAGCACTGATTTTTGAAACATTTGTGCTGCTAGGATTGTTCATGGAGGATTGAGGGACAGTATTGGAATCGGGCGAAGCGTCATACATGGTTTTAGGGTGTAGGGATCAAAAGGAAGGAAAAAGATAGGAATTCCGGCAAGAGATTCTTTCCCGCTCTGATACCAACTTGGAAAACAGGTTGCACGGAATAATACATTCTGTCATTGAGATTGTTCTTTTATAGAGAATTACAGCACCTAAAAAGCCATTAAATCAGGAAACTAAATCACTGATTTAAGGAAAGAATAATTCCTAGGCAGAGCTTTCCTAAAATACACAGATTTACACCAAAAATAGCTATATTACAGCTAGTGACTAATTTACAGCTAATATATATTTACAGCACATATTTTTCCTGATTTTCTAACAATTTTCTATGTCAAATGTCTCCACAAATACTATTTTTTTTTTTCAAAAACAAGTTACTCAAGCATAACAATGAAAAGTGAACACTCCACTCAATTACTTTGAAATTACAATTGTTATAGAAGTACTAATGCCCCAATCATTAAATTAAATAAGTTAGAGTGTGCTTGACAATGAAAGAAGCATGGATAGAAGCATATGGCTTTTCTGTACTACCTTCCAGCCACAAAAGGATAGCCCTTTGGATGTCCTGGCGGTGGCTGTCCCTGCAAGCCGGTAACAATGGATGTCATCTTCCTCACGATCGCAGTGTCTTCACTATAACTCTCATAGCATCGTCCCCAACGGGGATCTCTGCATACCTGTCAGAATCTATTCACACTATTATATATTACCACGAGGCTTTTCACATCTGCTTCTAATGCAAGTTTGGAAAACCAATATTATTCCATAAAAACAAGTACTTTCTACGTTTATCTGTCTTCTGAAAGTACATCATGGTGTTTTTGATACTAGAGACTAATAATGTACAATAATATGTTCTAATTATATACATATTAAGTTAACTTACAGCTACACAAGGAGCAAAAGTATAGTGAGCCCCACTTGCCCTGACTTCCAGAGCCGTTGCTGTTCCAATCTTTTGAGCCAAATCCGCGTCTCTAGCATTTTTTTAATGAAAACAATGAATACTGTAGGAAATGTTCCAATTCAAGGTCCTTTGGTATTAAATTCAGTAAAGTCAATATTTATATAGTTACCATTATTAGTATTTGAATTTATTCGTATCAGTTTTCATGTTAAAAAATAACTTTATTTTAGTGAATTTGATGGTTAACTTACATGATTCTGTGATTCTAATTTATGTTTATATGGAGCCCGTTCAAAGCTGTCCTTCTAGACTAGTCCGTGGATGTATGCAAATTACCAAATCATGTTAATCTTGGTATTTTTAGTGATCATGGCGAGTTTTGAGTTTATTCTCCAAAAACAAATACACGACCCTTTTCTCTTTCATTGCGTAATTCTCTTCTCCAACATTCTCTTGGTAACACAACAGAACATCAAACACAAATACACAACCAACAAACAAACACTAAGCAAGCCAAACCAGAAAACAATCAATCAGAAGAAAGAAAGAAAGAAAGAAAGAAAGAAAGAAAGAAAGAAAGCGAGAAGAGCAAAACCAACCTGGTGGCTCCAAGGCCAACATTATGAGGGAACACCGTGGCACCATACACATTGTTGTTCCCATGAACCGCGTCCACACCATATATGATGGGTATCCCAAGCTCAGATTCCAAGGCCAGCTTCTGAAACCCATCAACCATGTCGGTCCAATCCGATGACAAGGCCTTCTCAAAAGGCCCACTCCCACCACCACTAAGAATACTCCCTACAAATTACAATCCTCTCTCCAATGTAACTTTCACTGAAATCTAGAACTAGAAGTTTGGGAAACAAATAAGAAGTACTAAGGTCTCATACGCTCGTTTTTTTCGCAGTTCGAATCATAATTCAATCTTTTTGTTACCGTATGTTTTTTCTCACGAAAATTTTTCACGCGAACCCGCAGAAAGAACGTGATCTAAGAAAGTACCAACGGCGTGGTCTCTAATGGCGGCAGGGGTGGCGACGCAGCGCTCCATCTGGGTCATTTGGCCGATCTTCTGGTCCAGAGTCATGCGGGAAAGGAGGTCTTTCACTCGAGCTTCAACGGCTTCGCTTGGGTTCCTGTATATGCAATTCGTGGCTTCCATTTTGGTCGTCTATAACTCTAAACTCTTAAACAGTCAAGGACATAAACATATATCCGATGTTGGAAACCACCGATGAGGAGCGGAAAGGATTCCAAGAAAACAGTTTGTGAACTCTAAGGTCTCGTTTGTTTCGCTGATTTGAGTTTAAAATTTGAGTTAAGATATAATTTTATGTGAGAATTTTTTATTATAGTAAAAAAATTAAATGTGACTATTTATGAGAATTTTTTACTGTAACAAAACTCAAATTTTAAACTCGAATCAGCGAAGCAAACAAGGCCTAAGTCAACGTAAATGTAGAAATAATCAAATAAACAAAAGAATGACTATTGTCGCTTCTTAACCACTAATTGCTAATTGCTATGGAAGAGAGAGAACTAATAACTAATAGGGAGAAATAAGAAAATATGTTAAGATTTGAGATATATTAAAATTAATATGTTAATAGTTTACATAGGTTAATAAATAGGTTAAATTATTGTTTTTGTTTATAACTTGTCTGGTTATGAACCATAACTTGACAAGTTATGGTTCATAATTCATGGTTTTTATCCATAACTTGTCTGGCTATGAACCATAACTTGACAAGTTTGTCCATAACTTATTTGGTTATAAACCATAACTTGACAAGTTATGACCTATTAATTTTTATAACTAAAAATTGGCCTATATACTTTCTTAAGCTTTTCATATTTGCATATTTTTTACTATTTCCGTAACTAATAATGGCGTAGATGTGAAAGTTCAGGTCGCCTGGACCATCTAAAGTCTTCAGGTCTGAATGGAAATTTTATTTGGGCTGGCCGAAGGAGAGTTAGTTTGAATCAGAATTTATAAGGTATTCTTAAAAAGAGAAAAGAGACAAATATTAGAGTATTCTTTTAGAGCGTATAAATTTAAATTTTTATTATCTATTATTGATTAATATTTTTTAATTAAATAACTATATTAATAAAAATAATGTTAATAAAACATAAAGGATAAAATCTAGGCCATGCACTCTAAGAGTAAGTTTAACAATTTTCTTTTTAAATTTTTCTTTTTTTTTAAATAGTGTTTAGGTTGGGTCGGGCCAGAATAAGATTTTGGACTCAAACCTTGATTTAGGGTCGGGACCGGGCAATAATGACAGATCTTAGATTGGCCCGTTTGACCCACAGCTCTATTGCAATGTAAATTTATAAGAGAATAGTACTTCAAAATTAATATAAAAAAAGAAAAGGAGATAAATACCCGTTAGAGTACATGAATTTTGATTTTTACCTCTTACTTTTGATTAAAATCTTTATAATCAAATAATTATCTTAATTAAAATGGTACTAATCAAGAGCATGAATAAAAATTCAGACTCATGCACTTAAAACGTAACTTCAGAAAGCTTCTCTAAAAAAAAAAGTCTCTTAGTGTTACTGTAAAGTTCTCTATCCTTAATGAAATTTTACTTTAATTTGACAAGACAAAAAACCCCCTTTTAATATTAATCTAAGGGTATATAATTTGCGCTAAGTAGGGTTTTTTCTCTCTCCAATAGTAGGTTTTTTTTTTTTAATTTTTTTATTTATCTTTCGAAGAATTCATTTTCTATTATGAGTTTTATTGTCGAATAATTTTCATGTAAATATTCTGGTTGCTATGATTTCTTTAACCGATCTGAAAATTTGCAGAAGCATCAATATAATAATTTGTCAATAAAATTGACGTGTGACTATATAGGTAGTGTTTTTTTTATTATTTAAAGTTTATATAGGTAGATGCTTGATTTCTAGCAAGGTAAAAAAAAAAAAAAAAATGCATTATATTGGTTTCGCCTTCTCCGTCATTAGTGTATGCATTTTGTTCCTTGCACAAACTAGATAGTTACTGCTTCAAGGATTGAATTAGAGAAATTTTACAATTAAAGAATTGTTATTGGAATATGTCAGTTCTGTGGGAAAAAATAAAAAATAAATTACGTATAAAAATAGTATGGTTGAATAACTACACTTGAAAAGTAGTAATCTTAATTTATACCGATCAAGACTCTACTCGAGAAAATGGTGAACCAAGTGAGATAAAAAGTAACCTCATCTATAGAAAAGGGTCTACTCTAATCTTATACCAAATATTCAAATCCGTCCTGAAAACTACATTAAAGTACGACTATAAGATTATTACTAGGGAATTTCTTTGGTAAGATTAAAAAAAATAAACTATTGATAATTTTTTTTTTTTACTTTTCAGCCGTCAGATCTATATAAAAAATTATATATTTTACATATTTTTTTAATTTAATGTAATTTTGATTAGATTCAAAATAAAAAATTAGTACTATCAGTATAAAGACTTACATAAGATAGTCCCTTATTGTTGTTAATGTTCTTGTTGTTGTTATTATTATTATTAATATTATTTTTATTATCATTATTATTATTTTGAAAGGGACAAAGGAAAGAAAGGCAAATTAGGAGCAAAATAGTCTTTGACCAGAAAAATCACAAAAACTAACCATAAAAGCAGAAGGCCATGACACAGAATGGTGTCGTTCGCAACCTAGAGTAAGCGACAGAAAACTTACAGATAAAAAGATTATAAAATATATAAAAAAAAAGATCATAAAATCCCAGCAGCAACGACGGTTCGTTTAACATAATCAAGAAACAAAGACACCCAAATGAAGATGGTATGATTATTGCCGACTGAGAATCAACAATACGGAGCAAGAGTTTTGACCAGTAGAAACAGGCGCAGCTCAAAACGACACAACTTCATATAGTTAGCTATAAACGACAACAAGCAGAAGCAAACAAACGACAGTTCAACTTGTAGCAGCCAAAACGCCGCACTTACGGAAACACAAACACAAATTACACAAGCACAAACGACACTACCGTGCCGTGATACAGTCACTATACTAACACCAGTGATGGATTGCAAGAGGAACCTTGGTTACCCACCATCGCATGATCTTTAACATGCTCAGAGTACTCACACGACAATCCATCCACATTTATCTCGTGACGCAATCTGCTCAAACACATTTCCTCCACATTAATGCCTTCGGCTTTGGTCAGCCCAAAGCCGAGACGAAACAGAGAATCACAACACTCGTTTTCGGCATTCATCGGAAGTTGTTCGACGCTTCGAAACCACGTCACCGGAAGCCGGCCTTGGAATTCGTGATCTCCGAATACGACGTCGGCAATTCCTCCTCCTTCCGTGCCGGGCAACCAAGCCGCGACCAGAGCGTCGATCTTCTCCAGCAGCTCTGGCTCCAGAAACAACGGTCTTCCCGAGATCATGATCACCAATGTCGGGAATCTGTCTGCCACTGAGTTTATGATGTCGGTTGCTTTCCCGTCCTTCGGAATTTCGAGCTTCGAATCGTCGCCGAAGGACTCCGCGTACGGGAATTCTCCGACGGCGACGATCGCGAGAGAGATGTCTTCTCTCTGTAATGTCTCTGTCGATGGATTCTCCTCGTGAATCACCTCTGTTTCTTCTCCCACTCCTTCGCTAATGGCTTCTAAGATCGTTGTCCCTGAAATGAAAAAGGTAGAAGAAAATCTTTGGTGGATGACGCTTTTTAATTCTAGTTTTGTCAAATTAAGAAAATGTTCTTTGATTAAAAAAGAAAAAACGGCAACTTTCCTAAGTCTTTGATTATCAATGATCGACAAATCTAGGAGGTTTGTCACAACTATGCTACAAAGTGAATTTACAAATAAGTCTTTTTTTATTTTTATTTTTTATGTTTATCGATCGCGTGTATAAAAATTGATCTCGCTCGTTCATTCCAACGTCATTTTGCAAAATAAAATTTTTAGAAAGTAATTTTACAAATAAGATTCTTTTAAAGCTACTTCTCTTTTTTTTTTCCCCTTAAAAAAAAAAGAGGTCACGATCATTAGTTAATTATTAGTCTCCAATAACGTATCAATTTTCAATCACGTAATTTTCTTTGCTCAAATCATGAAAATGATTCATTCTTAAATTTTTGAAGAACATACATTATTTTAGTTTTAAGATATTCACAAAAAATAAGCTTTTAAGACCATTTGTGAAACGTGAACAGAAATTGTTGTATTGCATTAGCATACCAGTAGTAAACCTTCCATTCTCCTTGTCGTTGAATCCTAGCCATTTACGTGTCCAACCTCCACACTGATATCCAAGATTATGAGCGTGAGATCCGGCAACAAGGATTGTTTTAGGTTTTCCCTTCAATGGAAGTAAAGGTTTGCTATGATCCTTTCCATTCTTCAACAGAACCAACGACTTTTGAACCGCTTCTCGTGCTAATTCCCTATGCCGCTAAACAACACAAATGAAAAACAGAATTATAGACATCCCATGTAAAGAGCATTTGATAAAATTGTTAACGTGAAAATTCTTACTTTGGAAGTGACTGAATCCAGCAAATTTGGTTCACTATAAGGATGTTCAAAGAGTCTGGCTACGAACTTCACTCTTAGTATTCGTTCAACCGCGTCATCTATTCTGGCCACAGACACCTCTCCGGAGTTCACCAAATCCAACAAGTGGTCTACAAACAATTCGCACCGGTACGGGACAATGACCTGCGTGTCGTTTTAAGTTTTGGTTATGCTTAAGGATGGTTAGTAAAGTGAAGCTAAAATTTGGAGTTCAGTTCTTGCCATGTCAATTCCTGCGTTGATAGCCTGCGAGATGCATTCGCTGTAGTTTGATCCACGAGGTTCGCTAAGGCGGTCGATCCCTCTCCAATCAGAAATCAAGATGCCCTGCATTCCATGAAACCAACGATAGAGTGTGTATTTTTCCTTGTTAACATTACTTAGGCAGTTGGATTATTGGTAACATAAAAAAAAAAAAAAACAAAAAAATCTCATCACATGGAGAAAAGCAAAAGCATTTCATCAAGGTTTGTTTTAATTCTTACCTTGAAGCCTAGCTTATCTTTCAAAACTTCGGTCAAAAGTTTGCGGTTAGAATGCATTTTGCACCCGTTCCAGCTGGAGTAGGAAGCCATGACCATACAAACTCCCTTTTCAATGCAGTCCAAATATGGTGCCATGTGAATCCTCTCTAATTCCTTTTCGTGCAAGACCGTGTTCCCCTCATTTTGACCATTTTCAGTACCCCCATCCCCAACAAAATGCTTGGCACAAGCAATGGTGTTGCGGCTGTAAATAATCAAGGTGAATGTATGTGGTACATTAAAGTGTGTTAAGAATCAAAGAACAGAGCATCATGAACTCCGGAGGAAAACGACCAGTAGATGACTGCTTGGTTTATGGAAAATGTGAATTCGAATTGGAATATGAATATAATGCAATGAGAATAAGAATAGTTTGAATCATTAATTTTAATTTCATTTTTTCGTAGAATATTGAAATTGTTATAGGAATCGCCGTTATTATATTTGGTTAATCATTAAAATGAACAAGACCATAATTATTTGATAAAAATATCCTTTCATTAACTAACTATTTTGATGGAATAACTATTACTAAACTTTTTGGTCTAACCAAACATAAGAATGTGATTTAATTATAGAAAATGTCATTCCATTCTAAAGGTCATCTATAAAATCAGATATGACTTTATGTGTCTTTAATTTCCAGGAAATCTGTGACCGGTATTACTTCCATTCCATGATGAATTGTAAGTTTATAACCAAAAATGATATTACGCACAAAGTGTAGATTTCATATCCCCACCCCGGAATTCAAAACAAAAAAAGAAAAAAAAGAAAAAGAAAAAGAAAGACATATATTCAACTGAATTCTCATTATTTTGACAAATATTGCGGGGATTTTGTTTTTAATTTTACCTTCCTGCTATAAAAGGGTAGCCCTTAGGGTGACCTTTGGGTGGCTGCCCCTGCAAGCCTGTAACAATAGATGTCATATTTCTTACAATTTCGGTATCTTCACTGTAACTCTCATAGCATCTTCCCCATCTGGGATCTTTGCACACCTGTTGGAAACTCATTCAAATTAAATTCTCAATCAATACTATTCTCAAATGGAAATGTAGAGCTGAGACAGGAATTTAGAGACAAGCTATAACAGTAACCTTGGATCAACTGATCAAGTACGTACATGGTAATATCATAAAAATCACTCCAATGAAGTAAAATTTACTCTGAGTATACTTGAATTAGAACACGACCAATTCAATCGGTCAAGTCAACAAATCAACAGTTATTCAACTCACACTAATGTCCTTGTGCCTTTGTGTCTGTCAAACAACCGAGTAGAATAAATTTTAGGGAGATTCTCTGATACGCTTAAAATATCGATAAGTTAAGTTTTTCTAACCGTTAAATTTACATATTTTTTTTATTCTTATGTGATTTATGCAGATCCGACGGATATAAAACTTGACCTACTTATATATTGACGTACGGAGAAGTTCTCTAAATTCAGAATATATATATATATATATTATTAATAATAGAACCGTGTAGAATAAATAGTGGTAAACTCACAGCCACACACGGAGCATAGGTACAGTGAATTCCGCTAGCCTTAACTTCAAGAGCTGTTGCAGCACCGATTTCTCGAACCAAATCTGGATCTCTGCAACACATTTGGCAAAAAAATGAGAATAACTATTAGTAGTAATAGTACTAATAATAATAGCAATATGACTGTTTTTTTTTTCTTTTTCTTTTTTGGAGTGGAATAAGACCGCTATTTCATACGCTCTTCTATTGTCAAAGTCTGATTTCTCAAAATAATTAATTTGACTTCAGTCCTTAATCTATTACTAACTTCAGCTAGGTAGATGTGACTCAAGTTACTGATCGATGTAAAATTTAACATTTTCTCGTTGACCAAAAAGTCTCATCAAGCTCAGTCAAGATCATGTTAGAGATCATCACCAGCCTAAATACACAAGTCCTTTTATGTTAGTAATTAAGTGTCGTGAGTAGTTGAAGTGCAACGTGTGTGGTTGCTATTTTTCTTCAGTTTTATATTTGTGTGGCTATTATTATATTTGCTCTACTATATGTACCCTTTATTATTTCCGTTTTCTTTAAAATATATGTACCCTTTAGTGTTGTGTTCAACAGATCTAAGGGAAGAATCAAGAGGAACTAAGCTGGAAATTAAAAAATTTATATACCTGGTGGCTCCAAGACCAACATTGTGAGGGAATATAGTAGCTCCACTGACACTGCCGTTTCCATGAATGGCATCAATCCCATACAACAGAGGTATCGCAAGCCGAGTCTCCAGTGCTGACTTCTGGAATTCGTTGACCATGTTCGCCCAATCACAAAACGACGCGTCCGCGGCGGGTCCACTGCCAGTAGCACTGAGCATGCTACCTGCATAGTAAATAGTCATCCCCATTGATACACAGGAGTGAGCCCCAATTACAGCAGAAGAGGTTATGAGAAAATAATTCAAAATTTATGAGATAAAAGCGAGAATTTTTAAAATATAAGGAGCAAATTGAGATTAAATTTAGTGATAATAATCTTTTTAACCTGTTTAAACAAACATTACCGGTAAAGCTCCGTTAACTAATTTACATGTTGCATAAAAAAAAAAGAAAAAAAAAAAGGAAAGCAGTTTTAATATTTATGAGGAAACGAGCACTACTCAAGCACGTATGTATAGAAGACGTAATATAGAAAGAGAAGGAAATGCATACCAATGAACCTAGAGCGAATGATGCCCGGGTCAGCAGTGGCAACTCTGCGCTCAATTTGAGTCATCTGGCCGACCTTCTCCTCCAAAGTCATTCGGCAGAGAAGGTCTTTCACTCGAGCCTCCACCGCGTCGTTCGGGTTTCGATATACGCAGCACTTCTCCTGCAAGTCCTCTCCTACTACTATGTCGTCTTTCACCATATCGTGTTTCCAAGCACTCTCAACAAGAATATAATTGCAAGCTAAGTTATAAAGTTGGTCTTTCTGAGTACAATCTCTCACAAAAAAAAAAATAATGACGAATTGGCAAGCTATTTATATTAGGGATATTAATTTGCTTTTATGTTTATTTACTTTTTTATCCTTGTATTGGTATTATATATACCACACTTTTATGCCATCAATAATATAACAGTTTTACTATCATGGTATCACGAGCTTAAGGTTCTGAAAATCTTAGAAATTTTCTCCCACCACCAACTACTGCCCGCCGGCCCACACTGCCAACTGCTCATCGCTCCTCCCCACCGGTGCATCCCCAGCCGCCACTTCTCCCCACCATGGCCGACCCCACCACACTCCTTGACTCCCAAAATTCCGCCCTCTCCTCTCCTTCTGCCATCTCTTCTTGCCCAATTCTTTCCACCACCACAGACGCCACCACCAATTTAATTGCTATCAATGTTGCGGCACAAGTTCCCCTCAAATTAACTGCTACAAATTACGGTGCACGGCGCACACAATTTGATTCCTTCTTGATCGGGTATGACCTATACGGTTATGTTGATGGTTCTCTTCCGTGTCCACTTGGTAAGATCAAAGCACCTGACTCCAATACTGAGGTTCCCAATCCAGCTTATCTCTTCTGGATTCGCTAGGATAAATTACTGCTCAACGCAATTATAGGGTCTTTGACTGCCAGTCTTGTTCCTTTTATTGCTTCCAAGAAAACGTCCTTTGAGGCGTGGAAAACACTTGAGAAGACATATGCTTTCCCGTCACGTGGTCGCATCATGGAAGTACGCCGCAAACTTGCCACTCCGGTAAAGGGTTCTCGCACAATTACCGAATATATGCAAGACATTCAGTCGTGTATTGATTCTCTTGCTTTCATGAATAAACTAGTTGATTTTGATGAATTATCCATTCGGATTCTGAATGGACTAGATGACTCCTACAAGCACCTCTCTAGTGCCATTCAAGCGCGGGAAACACCAATTGATTTTGATGAACTATTTGAAAAACTGCTCCATGAGGAAGCCCAACTAAAACTCACAACTGCTCCAACCCCGTCGCAATCGGCAACTGCTTTTGCCACACAGTCCAGCGCGGACGTCCCCACTCCGCGGCAGAACAACTCGGGCGGCCGACCTCACCACAACCGCCGCACCAACCGGCCTCAACAACAGTCCCAATCTCGGGTGGCCGACCTCACCACAATGGCCGCACCAACCGGCCTCAACAACAGTCCCAATTTTATCCTCCTCCTGTCGTGCCAACACGGAGTCCCCGTCCGCCTTCTCCAGCGCCCACCTCTGGTCACGGCTATCAAGGAAAGTGCCAAGTCTGTGGCACCATTGGTCATTCTGCCCGTCAGTGCCGCCTTGTGCCATCGCATACATGGGATACCATCCTAGCACCGCCTCGTGGCCCACCGCGTGTCAATACTGCTACCCACTATCCTACTCCTGGTGCTCATTCCGATTGGGTTGTTAACTCTGGTGCTTCTCACCATGTCACCAACGATCTGGCTAATCTGTCACTCTACTAGCCCTACAATGAGTCAGAATCTGTAGTCATCGGTGATGATACTTGTCTTTCCATTAAGAATATGGGATCCATGTCTCTTTCCACGTTGCATGGTCCTCTTTCTCTCACAGATGTTTTACATGTTCCATCCATGACTTTGAACTTGATATCGGTTTCGCCTCTTTGTGCTACTAATGTGGTAACTGTGCTTTTCTTTGATGATTATTTTCAGGTGCAGGATCGTCACACGGGGGCAACTATGGTCACGGGACAGCGTAAGGATGGTGTCTACTTATGGCCGAAAAATCTCTCTTCTTTGCCGCTAATCCTTCCAAGAGTACCTGCTTTCAGTTTACTTCATTCGTCGTCTTCGTTGCTTTCCTTATGGCACAGTCGTTTAGGACATCCTTCTGTTAAAGTCTTTAGGACCCAATTGTTATCCCTAGGAGTTTCTTTTTCGTATTCCAAATTACTTAAATTTTCTTGTAATTCATGTCATATCAATAAAAGTCACAAGCTTCCTTTTTCGCAATCCTCTGTCTCCTATTCTTCTCCCCTTGAAATAATATACTCTGATGTCTGGACGTCACCTGTGCATTCTCTTGATGGTTACAAATATTATGTCATTTTTGTTGATCACTATACAAAATATATTTGGTTTTATCCTCTTTTTTGTAAATCTGATGTCCATGCGACCTTTGTTACTTTCAAGAGCTTGGTTGAAAAGTTTTTTCATCGTCCCATCAAAACATTGTATTCTGACAATGGCGGCGAGTACATTACTCTACGCTAGTTCCTCTCTGCCAATGGTATCACTCATCTCACTACCCCACCCCACACTCCGGAACACAATGGTTACTCTGAGCGTCGACATCGACACATTGTCGAAATTGGTCTTTCCTTACTTCATCATGCTTCTCTTCCAACCAAGTTTTGGTCATTCTCGTTTGCTGTAGCGGTTTATCTCATTAACCGCATGCCAAAAGAAAATCTTCAGTCCCATTCTTCCTTTGAGTGTCTTTTCAACAAACGACCCAATCCCAAACATCTTCGTGTCTTTGGTTGTCTTTATTTTCCTTGGCTTCGCCCATACACTACTCACAAACTTGATCCTCGGTCGAGTGCATGTGTCTTCTTAGGCTATTCTCTATCACAGAGTGCCTTTATCTGCTATGATCTTTCCACCCATAAGCTTGTCATATCCCGTCATGTTCGCTTTGTTGAACATGATTTTCCTCTCTCTTGGTCCTCCTCGGCATCTAACAACCACTCGGCTTCGACTTTCACGGCGTCTTCCTGGCTACCGCGACCGTCGTTGCCTTCCTGTGACCTTCCGGCACCTCCGGTCGCACCCGCTATGCCCCCTCGTCCCTTGCGGATCCCACGACGTGCCACTACCTGTAACACCCTGAAGAATTAATTGAGATTAATTAAGGTAATTGAGATTATTAGTGTGCCTAATCTGATTTAATTAATTGAGTTTAAATAATTTCAAGGTATTTAAAAGGTATTTAAATTATTCACAGTAATTTATTTAATCCAGAAGTGTGTATGGGCGCATTTCTGGACTGTTATATTTTACACATGTCATTTTCTTTTATTTTTCTTTTCTTTTATTTTCTTTTTCTTTTTCCTTTCTTTTCTTTCCTTTTCTTTTTCTTTCCCGTGCGTTTCTCTCTCTCTCTCTCTCACACTTCCGTGCTCTCTCTCTCCCTCTCTCTCTCCCATTTGTGTCTCAAATCAAAACCGGATTCGAACCAAGAGTGATTTCAAAGAGTTTTCAACGTCAAGAGAAGGATTCGAGGTAAGATTACTGAAA